TTCCCCAATTGCCGCCAATTGCTTGGGGCGGCAGAAATGCTGGAGCCGGCCATGCCTGCGGGCTTCCCAGGGGTGGGGATACCCCCATCCCCTCGCGGTCCCGGGAGAGTCTCTCCTGCCCAGCCCGCTCTGCAGGTGTCCCCCGCCGGGCTGCGCCGCCCGGTCCCACCCGCGGGGTCCCGTCCCCCCCGCCCTGGGCTCCAGGCTCCTGCGCCGCACCAGGGCCCCCCGTCCAGACAGCACGGCCTGCGCCCCTGCCCTGCGGGCCCGGCCCCGGGGAGCCCCTCACCCGGACCCCCCAGTGCAAGGCACCGGACCCCCGACGCTCACCTTCCATCCTGCGCCGCCGGGCCAGGCAGGAGCATTGTGCACGTGAGAAAACCAGGAGCATGGCTGTGGAGGATCCCGCGTGGGTGTGTGAGCCCAGCTCTGTGTGTGTGTGTGTGTGTGTGTGTCCCTGCTGGGGGGGGTGCAGGGGGGGGACCGAGCCCTGTCCCCGGCCGATCCCGGCTCCGGCTCGTGAGTCGCTGGCCGAGCCTCACTCCATGGCGCTGCTGGGCCAGGCCGGGCTGGGCCCTGACCCTCCCGTCACTGTCCAGGGTAAACGCCAGCCCGGATCCACAAGGTCGCCCCACTCCCGGCGCTCTGTGCGCTCCACGCGGGCCTCGCCAGCCAGGCAGCCTTAAAGGCACAGGGGCCCTTTCGCCTCCCCCCGCCCGCCGCGATGGGATGCGGGGGCCGCAGAATATTTCACTGGGCCGCGAGCCGCTACCGGGAGATGCTGCTGCTGCCGCATTAGCAAGGGGCGGGGAGCACTTGGCCGCCGAGCCCTGACCCGCCGCAGGAAGTGGCTGCGGCGATGTTGGGGCCGCGCTGAGCGTGGGGCGCAATGGCCGAGGAGCCGGCCCCCTCGCTTCTCCAGCCGCGCCTGCCGCCCCCCATGGCTCCTCCGGCTGTGCTGCCCCCAGCGCCGGCCCGGCAGGCGCCGCTTTTGGCAAATGTGCTGAGAGGAAGCGGCTGCTTCCCCTGCACCCCGCTAGCTACGCTACTGCTCCAGAGCAAAAAGCATGAGCTGCTACACAGCTTGAGCTAAAGCCTGTGTGGATCAGCTCAGAGGGGCACCTGTGACTCACACGACCAGTGGATTACACTGTGAAGATGGAGACTGCCCTCCAGGTGCTAAGAGCTATTGTTTCCCCAATGTACCCTCTTCTGTTGACCCAGCATGAACCTAAGTGATAAGTCATCTAGCCTCTGTTCTCTCCAGGTGACCCCCCTTCTCATGTGAGATACTGGTGTCAACACATTAGAATTAGCCCGTTACTTTCACATCTTCAGTTGGTTTCCTTTCTCACACACAGTGTGTTCAATAGTGCAGGGTTCTCTGCCTGTCTGGCGTTTCAGGGTGGGGCCTGGCCCAGCAGAACTGGAAGTCAGCTGGACCTCCTGATCAGACAGCTTTAGGACTTGCCTGTCCATGTAGGGGTGGGGGTTAGTGACTGGATCTCCACTTAGCTGTGATAGATCGGCAATACTCCTAACAGCGCACAGAGGAGGGAACTGGATGCTAAAGCTCAGAACTCTGCTCTGCACCTACATGGGTGTGAGTACATGGGCAGAAGTGATGACCTGCCAGGCCCAATTCACATTCAGACCTGAATATGCATCAAATCCTTTGTCTGCTAAACCTCAAAAGCAAGGTCCTTGTGTGGAGGGGGTGTCTTGTGCTTCCCCGGGTTGGCCTCTTGCAATCCTTCATTTCTGCCTAGTGCTTAGACACCTCCACATTCCCCAACCTCTAATGTTTCCTAGCTGAAGTCTCAGACATTCCCCCTCTGAAAACCAGCCTGCAGCGTGACCCCTCTGGACTCTTGGGGTGTCATTCTCCCTCACCCCACTTCTCAGCCATCCGCCCACTCCCACAATAATCCAACAACATCCCAGCCCTGGACCTCTTAAACGTTTTCCACTTGGCAGGGCGCTCTTCAAAGCTGAGCCCAGTGTTCATATCTGTGTATAGTCCCGGTGGCTAGAGCACTGGGTTGGGACTCAGGAGACCTGGGCTCTGTTCCTGGCTGACCTGCTGTATGAATGTAAAGAAGTCACTTCACCTCTCCTTGCTTCTATTTCCCTTCCCATTCTTTGTTTCGTCTAGTTAGATTGTCGGCTCTTTGGGGCGGGGCCTGTCTCTCACCATGTTTGTATAGGTCCTAGCACCATGGGGCCCTGAGTTTGGTTAGGGCACCTCCGCTCTACCATTATACAAATAATAAACCAACCCTCGTGCATACCACCTGCAGTAAAAGGAAACACCTTCCTCTCAGAGTCTACCCATCAGCTCACCTCTTGCTGCAGGTCACCAGTGAAATCTGACCAGGTCACAGGCCCATGCTACGCGCTGTGATCTGGTCAGATTTCACAAGCTAGGCAGAGCTGGAGCTGGTGAGCTCTTGACTGAGAGCACTCCACAGTCCTGCCAGAAATGATGTCAGCACAGTACCAGGCATCCTGGTTTACCAGACCTATTGCATGAGAATGTGGATTTCCACTGGCACTGTACACTCTGGGACACGGCAGCTTTAGAGCTCTTTAACTGCTAACTGACAGGGAGGCTAGAAGGGTGTTTTGGGGGAATGGAAGATGGGCTGCCCCTAAAATACAGCCAGTAAAAGGTTTATAGGGAACTGGCCAGCTCCACAAAGACTGTGGGAAAATCAGCCCAGCAATCTGGCTCCTACTGGAAGAGATCAGCCTGGGTTTTAGTTAAGTGCTCAGTGCAAACCTCCCCTTTTCACAGAAACCTGCCTGCAGTAACTGAAGCTGAAGAATGACAATGAGGGAAGGGGCACCAGCAAAACGAAATAACTCCCCTCTCCTCCCAACAAATATTTCTCCAAGCAAAAGCCCCAGCCCCTGTGACGGCACCACCCGAGGCCATGTCAAATTACATTGTGATGGTTAGCTTGGAAAATGAATCTGATGCCGAGATACAGTGCCCAGCACTATTCATGCGGTAGACAGACAGACATAGCTACACTGCCTCGCAGAAGCATGGAGCGGGGAAAGCAGAAGGTATAGTGGCCATTTTGTGATCTAAATCCCCATGGAGGAAGATGAGGGGGGTGTCAGCTGAACATTTCAGGATCTTTCAAAATGTTTGCTTGGTGGGGCAGGGTAGGGTGTGGGGTCATCTCCTAACTGGTTCCCCTGTCCCTGACTATCACTCTGCAGACACTGCACCCCAGAGCGAAGGAGGCAGTCCCACCACCCGCAGTAACTCCTGCAGGAGTCACCTCCAGCGCTGCCTGTCCCCAGGAGTTACCTGCAGCACCTCACCGCTTCGCACACACACCTGAGCAACAGTCCGGCCCTCCCTTCACTTCTCACGGCCAGCCAGGTTAACTGGGGCCAGCAGTGCCAACGAGCGACCACAGCCCCCCAAGCCCTGGAGAACAGATCCAGCAGGGGTGGAGGCGCCAGCCTGAGGAGGCATGCATAGCAGGTGGCAGAATTAAGGAGAAATCTCAGTTTGCCCAACAGGTGGCAGAGCACGGCTCAGCAGAGTGCAAGCAAGGGGCTGCAATGTGCTGTCTAGATGGCATGTTGAACAGGAACGCCCCAGGCCCCCAGCACAACACCCATGCGACGGCAGAGCTAAAGTGACTGGTGTCTGCAAGCAGAGATGTGTTCCAAAAAATGTATTACATTCTGCTTGAGTTCTAACCGAAGGCTTGCAGGGGTGCTGTGCTTGCCGGAGAGGGGAAAGCCAGAGGCACATGCTGCCTCAGCTTTGAATAGGCCTGAATGGTTTCATTCTGCAGCGGCTGACTGGGCCTGACTGACCTTGCTTCCTGCCTGCTGCAGCATGACCCCTAGTGCAGACAGACCTGACTTGCACTTCAGGACGTCTTCTTGCACAGACTCGGCATGTCATCGAACCATAGAATCATAGAAGATTAGGGTTGGAAGAGACCTCAGGTGGTCATCTAGTCCAACTGCCTGCTCAACTTCCATAGCTAGCAGCTGCCCCTTTGCTTAAAGCCACATACTTCTCAGCCTGTTTGCCAGAAGTTGGGAATGGGTGACAGGGGATGGCTCACTTGATGATTACCTGTTCTGTTCATTCCCTCTGAAGCACCTGGCATTGGCCACTGTTGGAAGACAGGATACTGGCCTAGATGAACCTTTGGTCTCACCCAGTATGGCCGTTCTTATGTTCCTTCTATCACCACCAGTGCATGTTGCCTTTCCCCTGCTTCTGCCCCATTCTACACCTCCAGGTCTGGCTTATGGCATAAGCACTGCAGACCGTATACCTGTGGTCCCAGTTCCTAGTCATGTGATTACATCGGAATCTCAGCTTTCATTTTAATAAAGAGTCTGAAGAAAAGCTCAAAAATCTGACCCGAGTGTAATCGATGCTGCATTGTCTGCCTGAGTCTGCAGACATCTTGAAACAATAGCTCTGAGAGGCGTGAACTGCCCCATACCAGCTCAATGGGGTACTGACTCCAGGACCCACCGCTCTGGGGATCCCCTGCCAACACCTTGCCAATAGAAGGCTCAGCGCATGGCAAGAGGAGAAGAGTGCGGTGGGGCTGGCCCACCCAAACAGATACACCTGGCTGCTGGAGTGAGTCCTGGGGAGCTGGTTTACTGCCCCCCTGCTGCTCTGGGGAAAGATAAGGGTATGCCACTATCCCTACCTCTCTGGGAGGTGTCCCCTTGACAGCCACTCCATGTGGGGGGTGGAGCCACAGTGTGCAGAGGCGGGGCTGTGCAAGTAGTCCCCTGGGGGGCAGTGTTATGATGTGTCTAGTGTCCTGGGCTGCCTTAATCCGACCCTGCACAGCTCCCTAGCCTCTGAGCTGTTCTGTGCATTTCCTGCCCCCAGTGCAGAAGCCGGGAGTCTGACATGCTGGAGCTCTGCCAACCCCTGCAAGTTTCAGACACACTCCAGTTGGCTCATCCAGCTACCTCAGTCTTTCAAATTCCACGTCGTCCACCAGGAAATCCCGGGTTTCCACCAGCTTGTGTATCTGCTGCACCAGCTCCTCCTCCCTCTGCTTCTCCTCGTTGGACTTCTCTTTCTCTGCAGCACGGAAAACACAAACCACTGTTTGTTCTAATGCACCGAAATATAGAAACCTGCGATTCTATCTGTGCTGCAGACAGGGTTGGCTTCTTAGGGTATGTCTGCCCTGCAATCAGAGGTGTGACTGCAACACATGATGTGGACACCCAAGTTGGCTTTGATCTAGCTAGCTTGACTAGGGTGACCAGATGTCCCAATTTTATAGGGACAGTCCCGATATTTGGGGCTTTTTCTTATATAGGCGCCTATTACACCCCACCCCCGTCCTGATTTTTCACACTTGCTGTCTGGTCACCCTAAGCTTGACTAACAATAGCAGTGAAGCTGCAGCAGCGTTTGTACAGCCTGAGCTGCCTCCCATGCTGCACAAGTCCCATTGACTTTCAGTGAAAATCCATAGATTCAAAGATATTAAGGCCAGAATGATCCATTATAATTAGTCTGGTCCCCTGCATAACACAGGACATCGAATCTCTCTCAGTGATCCCTGATTTTCAGTGGTGCTAAAGGGATCTGGATGCCCCATCTCCCATTAGAATGAACAGGGATTGGGTATGTCCATCTCCCAGGAAGTTTTGAAAGTCTTAGCTAAAATCCTCACTGAAATCCCAAAGGGTGGCCTGACCTTCAGCACCGTGGATAACCGCCTGCGTCCCTTTCCACTGTGCACAAAATCTGGGCAACCTTCAAGTCCCATGTATATAAAACACTGGTAAATACACAGAAATGTGGAGATGATTTATGCAACATTAAAGATAAATTACTGAAAGACTGAGATTGGCTGTATGCAGCTGTGTTTTTTAAGACCACCTCAGAGTTCAGGCAACCACTTCCAAACACAATCCAGTACCACATGGCTTTCCATTGGCAGTCCTCCTCCAGCTAAGTAAATACGAAGTGCAATCTGCGATTGCAGCAAACCTGTAGGCTGGATCCCAGCGGCGCCTAAACTGGGTATTCACTTGCAGTTTAAAGCCTTCTATATATTGACCTGAGACGCCGCTGCTAGGGACTGAATGGGAGGAACTATCATCATTATTCTACAGTATTAGCAGCCTCTGTAGAGCACAGAAGTTTGTCCTACTTCTCGGGTGAAATTTACCCATCAGCACAGGCCTCTCTTACATCCTACTTCAGTTCAAAGGGTAAACCACAAACGTGTGTGTCCTGGAGGAAACATATGTGGGGTTTCCAAATTAGCATGTCTCTACAGAGAAAGGGTTGTCCAGTGTGTAGGGCACTAGCCTGGGTGTTGGGAGGTCTCCAGTCAACTCTCTGCTCCGCCACAGACTTTTTGTGTGACCTTGGGCAAGTCACTTAGTCTCCGTGCCTTAGTTCCCCAGCTGTACAATGGAGTTAATAGCACTGCCCTACTTCATAGGGGCATTGTGCGTATAAATGATTCGAGTTTGTAAGATGCTCAGATACTCCAGTAATGGGGGCCATATAAGTACCGTAGATAGACGTCCAAACATGTTAGCTAATCTGAGTTAATTGACAGTCAATTAACTTGAGTTAAAAGCTCTAGTGAGGCATATTCACTTTTAAAAATATGCTTCTTGTTTGTAATTTGAACTTTGATGGCTTCAGATTCCATCTCGACCTTGATATGCTTTCGTATGTCAAAGATATCCTGGCCATGTGAGCTTTCTAGCCTAGAGAGGTTTGGCTAAGCCCTGGGCAAGCACCCCTATGTTTGGGGTTCTTATCTGAACCTAACCTCTGCTGGATCTGTCTTTTGACGCTCTACTGGGAGTCTCACAAGTTCAGTGTTTCTCATGAGATTTCCAGCACGTCCTGAGTTGACTTGCTGGATCCAAATTTTGCAAATATCCCCCAGCCCCAGTCTGAACATCCGTCAGTTACAGGATCAGGTTCAAAATCTGAATCGGGACCTACATTTTGTGGATTGAGCCCACTTCTAACCCAAATCAATCTGCATGTTCCTGGTTTATAGCCACACCTGGAGCAGCAGGGATAGGGAACTAGAAAGACTCCGGCTTCAAGTCATCCTTGATCTCGAGCTGCCCTCCAGGTAGAGAACAAACAGAGTCTTGTAAATGAGCTCAGATGCTGTTCTAGGAGACGAATGTTCAGACCCTTCCTGCTTCAGGGATCCAAACATCACAGCACCGCGCTCTCTAATGCTCCACTGCAGCTCCTGGGACCTGTCAGATCTGCAGAGTGAGACTTGTGGCTGGAACAAACTTAAGCCCAGACCCTACTGGTTGCGGCCCCAATACAGGGAAACACTTCGGCATGTATTAGGCCCATTCCATCCAGGAAAGCATATGATGAAGTGGTTTCCTTAATTGGGACCTGAATTAGGAACTCCTGGCCGGAGCCATTTCCTTAATGACAGTGACGTGACCAGCTCTGCGATGAAGTTATTCTTACTCATTATGATTTAAGCACTCACAGTGCACTGCTGCTGTTTGTAGCCTAGAAGACCTGGCTGCTGTCCAAATTGGATTCAGTCTAAAGAGATGGACAACACACACAACACACTGGGAGACGCAGGGGAAGGTCCTGCTTTTGGATCTAATTCCCATTTACTTCAATGGGCTTTGGAGACGACCTTTAGAGAGTGGGGTGTGGCTTTGTCTTGCTTTGTTTCTCCCCCAATGCTCTCTTTCCCTCTGTGGAAGGATGGCGCATCTGCCAGAGGTCAAAGTTTTGAGGAAGGATTTGAAAGGGGGAAATCTGGGCATCCGGGGGTTGGATAAGCAGTTCCAGATGGCAGGGCAGAAAGCTTGAAGACCAGAGTGAGAGAAGGGGCAAAGGAAGAGGTGGAGCGCGACTTGGCAGAGTGATGGGGACAGGGAGACGACACCGTTTTAAGGTGCTGCATGATATAGGGAGCAAAGGGCAGAATTTCCTTTCCGAGGAAGTTTTGATTTTCTGTTTGGCTGGTTTTTCTCTTCTCCAAAAGAAGTCCATATCGGGGATCTCGCCACATTGTCTGGACTGGATCCTCATGCACGTTAAGGCCCTGGTACTGCACTCTGCCAGTGTAAAGAGGCCTTAGTGTAAATAAATATAAGGCCCTCTCCTTCCAGTGGATGTACTTACTCCAGTTATCCAGTGAGATGCTTTCTGAAATTGTTAAGCTATGAATATGAATCTGTTAGATGTAACCCTTATTTACAAAGAGACTAGCTAGATTCCCAGTACATACCTGCCACAAGGTGGGGTGCTGGTGGTTCTGTTATCTCTGCCGCTCTGAACTTGGGCTGGACCAGAGGTTTTAGGTGTTGAAATACCTATCTCATAGAACTGGAAGGGACCCTGAAAGGTCATCAAGTCCAGCCCCCTACCTTCACCAGCAGGACCAAATACTAATTTTGTTCCAGATCCCTAAATGGTCCCATCAAGGATTGAACTCATAACCCCTGGGTTTAGCAGGCCAATGCTCAAACCACTGAGCTATCCCTCCCCCCTATGCACAGCCCTCGCCAGGACAGAAGGGTGTGTGAAGCTCCTCGCATTTGCCAAGCTGCTCACTGTCTCTAGCCCCCTGTGATTTCTGGCAGGCTTCCTCCACCAGGGCTTGCAGCATTTCCTATGAATTCAAGGCCAGCCTGCCATCTGCCCCATCCCCTCGCTGTCAAAAGGCTGGTGTTAAATTTCTGCTGTGTTTTGTGGTAACACACGAAGAAGAGGAAAGTTTTCCCCAGCAACACCGACATCTGGTGACTCTAGATGCTTGGCCCTGCTTTTAAAGGCCTCCCTCCCCTCCCACCTCCAATAGAAAACTTCCAAAGGGCCCTCTCCCAAGGGATTCCACAAATTCTCCTCCTTCCGCTCCTGGGGTGCCATTTGGAGTGGTTGGTGTGAACTAGAAACCCTGCACAATGTGGGAGGGTAGCTGAGCCTGTAACAGACTCATCTGTCCTCTGTGGATCAGGCACAGAAGAGGATCCTGTAACACACACTCACCAGTGGCTTACAAAAAGATTTGGGTAACAATTTTTATTTCCTTATTTCTTTTCCTTTTCTTGTTTCTTGATATTTCCTTGTTTGGACCAGGACAAGCAGTGGAAGAGGCAAAGAGCCACAGAAAGAGATGATCTGGGGACAATTCCAGCCTAGCCAGGAAAAGAAAGTCCCAGCAACATTGCAAGAAGGGCTGCTTTTGTGAAAGAGCCCCAGGCCAACTTTGCAGACTCGAGAGGTTCAGAGCTGGATCCAAATGTCTGGTTACTCATCTGATTTGATCGCCTGAACCTTTGGAGTCCTGCCTGTTACCTAGTAGGAGCACATCCAGGAATAAAGGGCCTGATCAAAAGCACTCCCATCGATTTCAAGGGCTTTGGGATCAAGCCGCAGAAGCTTTCCAAAGTATCTGGGCCTTACCTGGGAGTGCGATGAGTTTCTGGAGCTCCTTTTTCAGCCGACTGATTTCTTTGCAAAGCTGAATGTCATCCATCCTGCAGAGACACGAACAAAACCACTTAGGGCTGGTCTACACTACACAGGTCAACGTAAGGCAGCTTATGTCAACCTAATTATGTCAGTGCAGTGACGCTGGAACACTTTTTCACTGAAACAGCACTGGGATATTGCGTAGGGTTACCATACGTCCGGATTTTCCCGGACATGTCCGGCTTTTTGGGATTCAAATCCCCGTCCGGGGGGAAATCCCAAAAAGCCGAACATGTCCGGGAAAA